TCCACTTAACCAGTGTACGCAAGGCATCCATACAGTACGTCTAACCATTCCAGCCCATTGCATCTCCCCTGAATTTATTGGTGGGCTCGTGAAGCTACCTGTCCTTTGACAAGCTGGACCCAAGACGTTCGCGTTTACTCCAGCAGAGACGGGAGACTTGGTCCATCGCTGCTGCATCACCTTCCGTTCTGCAGCTGGACTGACACTTCTGCAGCTTTTTTTTTTCTTTCTCTCTTTCTTCTCCATTCACCATGGCGTCGACGACTGCCACCCCGCAGGGAAGCGTCCGACAGCGCAACACGGCTTTCGAAGAAGTCGCCTGTGGCCTCGGGATAGCGAGCCTGAGGTCAAGGGTCAAGGCCAAGGGCAAAGGGCCAAGTCTGTTGCGCGCTCCCTCAAGAAAGCCCTCAGAAGACCGAGTATGGCGTTGGACTTGCCATCACCACCCTTTTGGCATTCGTCACCAGATTCTGGGGCATCAGCCACCCGAACGAGGTAGTATTCGACGAGGTTCACTTCGGCAAGGTATGTTGGCGTGCCCTTCCGACACTTGCGTATTTTTCGTGTCGATGAGCCCTTTCTGACCAAAGCTCTGGTGAACAGTTTGCCTCTTACTACCTCGAGCGTACCTACTTCTTCGACGTGCACCCTCCCTTCGGAAAGCTCCTGTTTGCCTTTATGGGATGGCTTGTGGGATACGATGGTCACTTCCACTTCGACAACATCGGTGACTCGTACATCACCAACAAGATTCCCTACGTTGCCTTCCGAGCCCTTCCCGCTATCCTCGGCGCTCTTACTGTTTACTGTGACCTACCTCATCATGTGGGAGTCTGGCTACAGTCTTCCTGCCTGTCTGCTCGCCGCCCGGCCTTGTTCCTTCTTGACAACGCTCACATCGGTCAGACCCGTCTCATTCTGCTCGACGCCACTCTCGTTCTTTCGCCATGGCATGCAGCTTGCTCTGCTTATATCAAATTCCACAAGGCTTGCGCCACTGAGCCGTTCTCCCGCAGGTGGTGGAAGTGGCTTATCCTCACGGGCTTCGCGCTCTCGGCTGACATCTCTGTCAAGTACGTGGGTCTCTTCGCCTTTGTCACCATCGGCTCGGCGGTCGCCATTGACCTGTGGGAGCTTCTCGACGTCAAGAGGCCCGGCGGTGCGCTGAGCCTGCCCGACTTCACTAAGCACTTCCTCGCCCGTGCCTTTGGCCTCATCATCATGCCCTTCCTCTTCTACCTCTTCTGGTTCCAGGTTCACTTTGCCATCCTCAACCGATCCGGCCCCGGTGACGACTTCATGTCGCCAGAGTTCCAGGAAACCCTCAGCGACAACGTCATGCTTGCCAACTCGCTGGAAATCAACTACTACGACTCGCTCACCATCCGCCACAAGGAGACAAAGACGTACCTGCACAGCCACCCTGACCGCTATCCTCTCAGGTACGACGACGGTCGTGTGTCGAGCCAGGGCCAGCAGATTACAGGCTATCCCTTTAATGACACGAACAACTACTGGCAGATCCTCCCCTTGGAGGGAGAGGAGACCACTGGCCGTGTCGTCAGGAACCACGACCTCGTTCGTCTGCGGCACACAGTGACTGACATGATTCTGCTCTCGCACGATGTTGCGTCTCCCTCGTACCCCACCAATCAGGAGTTCACCGCCGTCAGCGTCGAGGAGGCCCTCGGTGCCCGCGCCAAGGACACGGTCTTTGAGATCCGCATCGAGCACGGCAAGAAGAAGCAGTCGCTCAAGAGCGTGTCGGGCCACTTCTAGCTGATCCACAATCCGAGCAAGGTAGCCATGTGGACACACTCGAAGGCGCTGCCAGACTGGGGCCACAAACAGCAGGAGATCAACGGCAACAAGCAGCTCACGGCGGCGTCCAACGTCTGGTTCGTCGAGGACATCCCGTCGCTCCCCGAGGACGATGCGCGCCGTGCCAAGCCCGAGAAGAAGGTCAAGACGATGCCATTCCTCAAGAAGTGGTTCGAGCTGCAGCGCGCCATGTTCTGGCACAACAACCAGCTGACCAGCAGCCACCCGTACTCGAGCCACCCATACCAGTGGCCCTTCCTACTCCGCGGCGTGAGCTTCTGGACCAAGAACGACACGCGCCAGCAGATCTACTTCCTGGGCAACCCAGTGGGCTGGTGGATTGCCAGCAGTCTTCTCGCTGTGTTTGTCGGCATCATTGGTGCCGATCAGGTGTCTCTGCGCCGTGGCATCGACGCTCTGGATCGCCGTGAGTGACACACCTTCCGTCCCATGACATGACCGTCGTACTGACTGGATCTCTAGGCTCCCGCAACCGTCTCTACAACTCGACGGGCTTCTTCTTCCTCGCGTGGGCGACGCACTACTTCCCCTTTTACCTCATGGGCCGCCAGCTGTTCCTGCACCACTACCTGCCGGCACACCTGGCGTCGTGTCTCGTGGCCGGTGCCCTCCTCGAGTTCATCTTCCTGGCGGAGCCCGTCGGTGAGCACAAGAAGACGAAGAAGGTCGAGGACGCGCCGAAGCGACACCTCACGGCGCGTGAGCGTCTCGGCGGACAGAGCATGGCGGGCGCGTGGATCGCGGCCACCGTGGTACTCGCCCTCGCCGTCGCGGGCTGGTGGTTTTTCCCTGCCCCTGACGTACGGCTACCCCGGCCTGTCGGTCGACCAGGTGGTGCGGCGCAAGTGGCTCGGCTACGACCTGCACTTTGCCAAATAAAGGGCGATTGTATCGCCACTCGAGGCCGACGCTATAGCGTCGGGTATAGCGTCGGGTATAGCGTCTGGGGTGCTCCTGAAGCAAGCCCTCTGTTGATGAAGCTGCTTTCATGGATCGCGCCAGAAGCCACACAGTACGCACGCGGTGCGCAACAACTGTGTGCATCGCGAGGTGCCTCGGAGATGGGCTGGCTGGGTGTTACGAAGCCATAGATGGGTGAACGAGTGAAATAGATCGCCCTCATGGCCTCGCTATCTGGAGGAGGCCTTTTTCTCATGTAAGACTAGCAGAAAGAAAAAAATGACGAACTTTGAAGAATGGTGGTTAGCCGTGTTCGCATTGGTGATAGCATCTGCATCATGTGTCTCGCGCGCTGTGGAGGTTGATAGGCCAGTAGTGGGGGCATCTGTCCGTACAAGGGTCATTAATGTTTCAAGTCCAGTGGAGGGCGACGTTGAGAGTTTCCAGTGTCCGGGCCGCACCTGGTATCACCCCTACTTAGGTACCTCCTAGCTAGGTAGGTAGCTACATGTACCTAGGTAAGGTACCCTCGGTACGTAACATCAAGGTACCTTGCAGATGCAGTTGTCTTGCCTGTATCCCTTGGACCCCACCAAGGCGAAGAAAGCTTCCACCTGTGGCCAAGAGGACGAGGACAAGGCGGTGCTCGGCCTGCTCAATCTTGAACTATGGAAATCGTGTCACCATCTCTAGGTTTCGCATTGCCTCGCGCGTGCACATTGAACCCAACCGCCATCCCCTCTTACAGAGAGCGCCAACACGCAAGTCATGGATAATGCCAACTCGGAGAGCCTCTTCTGAACTTGACGATTTCGATCCCTTGTGGGGTGCTACTTGCTCTGGAAACAAACCTAGACACCTCTACTGGCTAGAAGCTGTCGACACATTCACACGCTGCCCACGTCTCCTGCCAAGGGAGCGGCTCAACGCTCGGCAATCGAGCGGTGGAGGAGGAAACCACACCCTGGATTCGCCCATCTCACCCTCGCGTCGTCATTCTTTACAACCATCTTCCCTCTCCAAAACCGACCCTGACTCTACTGGGGCTGCTGGCCTTGACTTGATTCTGCCACCCGGCACAGTACTTTGGCCATTGGCCTCAACTACCACCCACCATGGGCAGCCGCCTCGCCGCCCGCCGCCTCCTCCGAAGCAATTCTGTCCGCCTGGGCCTCCTCCTCTTCGCCCTCGTTACCTTCTTCGATACGCTGCGCCTCCAGAACCGAATAGCCCGCCATGACCACGTGCCGCACGCGTTCGACACCCCCCGCAAGCACGAGCGTGTCTACATAGCCGCTCTGCACTACAACGACGCTCCCCTGCTTCGCCAGCAGTGGAATCCGGCACTTCTTGCCCTCGTCGAACGCCTCGGTCGCGCCAACGTCTTCGTCAACGTTCATGAGAGCGGCAGCTGGGATGACACCAAGGCCGCCCTCGCCGAGCTCGACGCCGAGCTTGAGGTCCGCGGCGTGCCCAGAAGCGTCATCACCAGCAACGTCACGCACCAGGACGAGCTCGAGGCCAACAGGCCCGCTCAGGGGGCGGGCCTGCCCGAGGGTTGGATTGTGCCGTCCAAGGGAGCCAAGCCAGAGATGAGACGGATACCTTTCCTGGCCAACTTGAGAAACTCGGCGCTGCGAGACCTCGACGACCTCCACGAGAAGGGGTTCAAATTCGATAAGGTGCTGTTTCTGAACGATGTCTTGTTTACGGTCAGTTAACATGGTTCTCGCCCCCAAAAAAAAAGCAGGCCAAGACAAGCAGTGTACTGACTGGAGCAGCCCGAAGACGCATTGACTCTGCTCGACACGAACCGCGGCGTCTACGCGGCCGCATGCTCGCTCGACTTTTCCGATCCCCCCTTGTTCTACGATACCTTTGCGCTGCGAGACGCCAACGGCCACGCTCACCTGACGCCGACGTGGCCATACTTCCGAGCGACGGCAAGCCGCAATGCGGTTCTGGCGCACGCCGACGCTGTGCCTGTGACGAGCTGCTGGAACGGCATCGTCGCCATGCCGGCGGCGCCATTCACCTCCCCCATCGAGTCCAAACGGCTGCGGTTCCGCGCCATTCCCGACTCCCTGGCGCAACTGCACCTCGAGGCTTCGGAGTGCTGCCTCATCCACGCCGACAATCCCCTTTCGGCGGACCTAGGCGTCTACCTGAACCCGAGGGTTCGGGTGGGCTACAACATCATGGCGTATGCCGCTACGCACCCTGGGCCAGGCCGCAGCTGGCTCAGCGGCTGGGCAATCGGCCGCGGCCGGACTGTGAACCGCTTGTTGGGCTGGTTCACGAGCACGCGGTTCACAGACCGGCGGGTCGACGACAGGTTGGCGCGGTGGAAGGCCGAGGATCAGGACCGTGACGAGCCAGGACGCGCGTGTTTGATTAACGAGGCTCATTTTCTGGCGCCGAATGGTTGGATGCATTTGTAGCGGCTGGCGCTCACGATCCTCTTTCTTGCCTTTTGGGGTAGATATTTCTTGGTTTCTTGTTTTTTGTTAGATCAGATGGATGAAGGTGGTGAGAATGATACCCAGCGTGATGCGTTATGCCATCTTGATCATGACTTATCGTATTGGTTTAGTGTTCTCTTGCTCACCCCTATATACCTTGACAACCAAAGACACACTTTGGTCGCAAGAATCTGCACTTGATATCATACGACCCCGCCGCCGAGCATCCTCTCCTCACCGACGACTTGTACAAACCTCACCTTCCTCCACTCGCACACCCCGGCTCTCCTCCTCTCGACCCTCGTCTACGCATGCTCCGCCTTCCGAATCCCCATCAACTCCAAAACCGCCCCCCTGCGTGCCAATTGGGCCCCCCCTCGCCCCGCGTCACCCTCCCCTCCTCGACAAGCCCGACAAACTCCTCGGCCCGGCCGGCACGAATCACATCCCCGAGGTCCGCGCACGCCGCCACCTCGTCCAGCCCGACAACCCGCCCCAGCCGCACGAGCAGCCTGTCGTCCAACCGGCCCGCGGCCCGCATCGCCGCCCGCGACGTCTTGCGCCCCTCCGCGGCGCAGCGTATCAGGGCCGTCCGTCCGGCACCGGCGCTCGCGCGGTCGATGGCTTCACGGAACGCGCTGGCCACGAGGGCGAGGGTGCCGCCGCCCAGGGCTGCGGGGTCCCAGTCTACGGAGAGGAAGGCTGTCAGCGCGGGGATCGAGGCCGAGGTGAAGCGTTCTCGGGCGATGCAAATGTCCATCGTCGCCGTCGGCCCGCTGTCGTTCAGCTCTCTGCCGGGCAGAAAGGGGGCTGGGACTGTGCCGAGGAGGAGCGCGTGGAGGAGGGAGGTGTTGCAGGCGAG